CAGGAGCGAATGGTCCTGACGGTGGAGCCTGGAATATATTTCATCAACCACCTGCTGGACAAGGCCCTGGCCTCTGAAGAACAGTACGGCTTCATCAACGATGTGCTGGCTCGCTTCCGCGGCTCTGGAGGGGTGAGACCATCACAGCGATACTGTGTTACAACAAGAACACTCTTGTAGAACTTCTGCTTGCTTTTATAGGTGCAATAATAAAAAGCAATTAAATATATATATATATATATATATATATATATATATATATAATATATATATATATATTTTAAATAGCATATTTGGAACAAGTAGTAGCCAAGTCTGGTCTACAACAAAGTGATAAATAAATAAAAAATAAATTAAAAATGAAATTAAAAGTTCCATTTTGACAGAACTGTAAAAGAGGCTTGTGTCCGTCCTCACAGGTGCGCCTTGAAGACAACATTGCAGTCACGGCTGATGGCATGGAGCTGCTGACCTGCATCCCCCGCACGGTGGAGGAGATCGAGGCCTTCATGGCGGACAGAAACCCTGAGAAATCCTTCAGACCCACCGTCAGCAGCCAGAAATTCTAATACGATAAAAACGCTCCACTTTTATATCTTCTGCAGATTTACAGCTCCCTTCTGCAGTTCATTCTGCTAATTTTAGAGGAATTCCAAACCTGACATCAGCCTTTGGTTGAAGTTTATGATCTGAAGACACATGATCATATTCTGTATATCTGCATTTTGACTGGTATTAACAAACGCATTTGCAACATATATATATATTCCATATACTTAATTTGTAGTTGCAGCACACAAAAGAGGTGGACACACTAAATATAATACAAACAGACACATGAAAGCCCACTAGTGAAGGGTGTACTAATCTCTATTTCAGTTTCAATTTTAAAGTACAGTTACAGTTTAACCACTCGAATAGTTCTCTTGTTTATTAATTTGCTTCAGACTGTTGCTCTGGACATAAAATCCTATAAAAATGTTAAACAGGGAAGTTGTCACTTTTGCTTTATGCTGCATATGATTTTAAAAGAAGAGAAAACACGTAGCTTGACTTTACAAACTTGAGGCTTTAATCAGTTCTATAAAATAATAACACTTCTGCTGAATGGATTATGATCAGTTTGAATGCTGTTACAACTGTAAACACTTCGGAATAGTTTCAACATATAAATATGAATGAAATAAACAAAAGTAAAGAAATATAAATTAGTGGTTAATTTTATACACTGCATAGCGGTCAGTCCAGGTGCTTTTGATATCATCTCAGTCTTCTCAGAAGGTTTGACCGCCTGCACTTGAAAAAGTCACAGCATCAGTCACTGCTGCAAAACCTCCCTAAATTCTCCTATGTTGACTTTATTTCTATCCAGTAGGTACAGTACTGCTAACAAGCTATTCATTTGTTTCTAAACTCTGACAAAAACCAAACATGGTTGAGGTGAAAAGTCAACACTTTCATTTATGGTTTGTGGTTTCTTTTGTGTTGAAACAGATTTGCATATCAGTTTCCGTGAATCAGTTCCTCATTTGTTAGACAAATTCTCGAATGACACTGAAAGTCAGACTCTGTTCCTGAGACACAGTACAAGGCTACTGTAGCAAAATCTGCTTCCAAGCTGTTAATTCAATAATGAAAACTCGGTAACACTTTCTATGAATGTCACCTTCGTAAGCATCTATAAACACATTCATAACATGTTATAATGCATTCATAAGGCATTATAAACATGGCTATAAACATTTATTAAAATGCATTACATGTTATAGCCATGTTTATTATGCATTATGAATTGTTAACATAATGCATTATAAGTACTGATCATAACAAATTATAAGAGCTCATAAGTGGTATTTGTCCGCTCTAAGTAAAGTGAAGCGTACTGTACTAAAGCCTCCTCCAGTGTTCAGAGTGAGGCTTCAAGTTGAAGTATTTACTGAAGGATTTACTGAAACACTAAAACATTCACAGTAAAGCACATTACAGGCTTCAAATGTCAGAGTTTAAACTAGAGCTGCCATCAGTGTTTTACCCAATGTGGGAAAGGTAATGTACACCACCGTTAGCTTGGTATTTGTCTTTACTTTACGCTCTCCAAGCTGGGACTGACTTCTTTGGCACTGACATTATATCATGTTATTAACACTATTTATAATGCATTATATTAACAATTCATAATGTATAATAAACATGGCTATAAAGTGTAATTCATTTTTATAAATGTTTATAATCATGTTTATAATGCCATATGAATGCATTATAACATGTTATAAATGTGTTTATAGATGCTTACAAATGCGACGTTAATAGAAAGTGTTACTGAAAACTCTTATTCAAGCCCAGCTTTGATACTACTTTCCTTTTCAGGCTTCTGGAGGCAAAAGGGCTCTCAGTGAACACAGTCTAATGAGTTGGATTATTCACTGTATTTTTTCCCCAGAAGAGTTTACCAGCTTTTCCCGTATACTGTTATATACACAGACTGAAATGACTGTTTCTTCATAAGACTTGTCCCAGGACCTGGAATCTCAAGGCACATAGGAAACGTTTACAAGCGTTAAACTCTTTAAAAAGTGGGTTCTTTCATAAAGACAATGGTTATATATCGAACTGTGACAACGCAAAGAGCAATTTGAATGCATAAATAGTTCTTTGCCTGGTTAAAGGTTCTTATATTCAGTGGAAAAACTGTTGTTTATGTTGCTTTAAAGAACGTTTTAAGAAATGGTTCTATACAGCACCAAAAAGGGTTCTGCCGTTGTTAGAAGTCATAGAACTTTTTTTGGTCCAATATAGAAACATCATTGCTTACATTTTGAGCAGAACAGTTGTTGCTGTGAATGAACAACTTTGCTTTACAGAATTTGGGAAAGAATAATATATTGGTAAAGTGGTGTAACTACCTTTACTAGTATGTGTTTACTGTTTATGGGGGGCATGTTAGCTAGCTAACTGCACCAAAATGTTTTTTGCCATCAATGTTCTGGTCCAGTCTTGCTTAAGCCTTGGGTACATTATGCGACTTTTGAAATCTTATAATCAGAATTTTTTTAACCTCTTACTGACCAGGGTATATTTTGGTTTGTCCATCTGAATTTAAGGCAAATTATTCAGTAACTGCATGAAATGACTGGTTTTATTTTATAAAATTTTTATTTTATTTATTTATTTATTTATTTTTTGTAAAAGCTCTCCTCAAATTAACAGAATGTGTTTTATGATCACACATATTGCTATATGCTTACAATTTACTGCTGAAAGCCAAAAATCTTGTATTATTTTATAAAAATAATTTTTACACAGCAGATCACCCAAAGAGACGCCATCTGTTTATAGTTTATAGCTCAGCTTCTTTTATTATAAGGGTTTAAAATTACATCACCCATCTATTTGACTGGAAGGAAGACAGTTACAGCTCTCATACGACCCCCCCCTTTAGAATGTAGCTTATGAAATATGAAAGTTATGAAGAATATGACGGAGGGGGTTTTGGAACCACTGGTGGTTCCAAGGAGTTGAAAAGGATAATCAGGTTATAAAAAGACTGGGCATCTCACACTATAAGACTGGTTTTTGCAGATTTTTTGGGCAACTGAAATATTAGGGATCACACACAACTCAACTTTTAAGCTGTTGCTGAACCAAACAGAGCTCACTGAACTCATGCGAAGTAAGCAGCAGGTAAACATGTTAAAAGTGAGGATCATGGATTTAAAATGTGGTCAGTGTGGTGTTTTTTAGAGTTTTAAATGTACATAAACTCGATTGTGCCCTAAACTCAGCTCATTAAAAAGCTTTGCTCCACATGTGATTTTTCGCCATTTTCTTTGTTTATTTGTATTTTCTTCTTTCTCGTTCTTGATTTTGGTTGGCTGATTGTGGTTTCGGGACTCCATTCATATTGAGTCATTGATCAGTTTACACTAGATTACGCTCAGAGTCGGGTCGAAAAAATCAAATGTTTGATAAACTCTGACTGGTCTGAAAAACGATTGGGAAGCCAAAAACCCGAGTCTGCGCCCTTGACACACGACTCCACTCTCTCCAACTGTCGACCCAGAAATCTGCAGACTAGAGCCGACTAGCACAGCCAATCAGGGCTGAACTCAGAGTAAAAATCGTGGAGTGTAATCCCGGCTTTACTTTAATTTGGGGTAGATTTTAATGTAATATAAATGTCTTTATTGTATGTTTTTATTGCTGAAATAAACTATGTGGATGACATAAAGAGGTCAGTGATAAAAACCTGAATAGCTGCAGTGATCACATAATGCGGGTTCTATCACCTTGCCAGAGTTAAGACAACATTTCAATTTGTTTATTAGCCTAAAACAGGGGTCGGCAACACGCGGCTCTTTCACTGTCCTGTTGTGGCGCCACAGCAGAATTAGATTTGTAGGTAAAAATAAAATAATCCTCCTTTACAGTAAAATAAAGCTCTGCTGATCGTTCAACACAGTTTAACAACAGATGGTCTTAAACACTGGAGTTAATGTAGAACTGCTGATTCACCCTTTTACCCCTGAAAGTTGGCGCACAGACTGCTGGTCACCATAGCAATGCAGACAGGAATCTTGCCTAGCTAGTAGCTAACGAAACAGCAATGAAAAAGATCTAAGACGAACATCGACACTTTAGAGACAAATGGACTTATGCTGCTTTCCTGATACGTTTAATCCGCAACGAGAAACAACTTTCTCAAACACCAAAACAGTCATGAAGCTGAAGTCAGTTTCTCATCTGCCAGCCTCTTGTTCAAATTCGCAGGTGCATTCATTTAAGGTGGAACGGGAAAATTAAAACAAAAAGCTGGCGATGGAGAAGCGACTTCAGCCTCGTAAAAAGTTGAATGCTAAGAGACATTTCACAAGAAACTGTTCTACTTTTCAGGAAAAGTTTCCTGCCAGAGAAAAGCAGCTATAGCTGAGCTAAAGCTTAAAGCAGAGCAAAGTAAATCTGTGTTTTCATTTATATTACATTTTTTAGCTTATTACAAGTACATCAGCACATACTGAGACATATTTTCAGGCACGAAGGTAAAATGGACACAAAATGTTGTGTTTCCCAAAGTGATTTGATTTTTGTTAAAAGGACAAAATGGCTCTTCTTAACATTTGGGTAGCCGACTCCTGGCCTAGACTGTATATAATAACATAAACACTGCCTTTTTTCACTTTTCTGTCTAGAAACTGCACTTGGCATGCGTTGAAAATGGACCCAAAGCAAATTTTTGTGCTTTGTTAATCAGTTTAGTCTTTCACGCCAATCACGCATGTTAACGGTCAGTGTGAACGCGATTAATGCAATATTTTAACCACCAAACCTCTGATTTTTTTAATAAATATTTCAGCTTTTATACGGTGAAACTCAATGGCACATTACAATTTTAGCATATTTTTTTTCCTCCTATCTACTCAGTTATGCTACTTTTTTATTTTAACATAAAAATCTGTCATCGTTACACATATTGCTGCCTTTTAACATCAATGAGACTTCCCTATAATTCCATGCCACATAATGGTGCCAAATCAAAGCTTGGTTCTCTTTCAGGGCAGTTCTTATCTTAGTGTTAATTCTCATCTGCTTTGCACCTCACATGAACACTGGAATGCTAAAATTATCGTTTCTCCATGATGGCTGTGACAATAATATCAAAAGTGTCCTGATTCTAGTTCCAAAATGAACTTCGGATGGACTATAAAGTAAAAAGCTCCTTAGAGGCTTAGAGGTAAATAGCAGTGCATGATAGAATGCTAGCAAGACTTCAGTATCTGTAGAAGCCTGATTTGTTATCCAAATATGGATTTAATTCCTTTATTGGCCATTTTATAAGCATGACAATCTAACTTTGGGTGGATGTAAAAAATGCCAACTGAAGATTCATTTATTTTAAAAGAAGTGATGGTGGCTAGAGCCAGTTTTGGCAGGACACGCTTTGCTGATACTTGAGTGAGTCAATCTTCTTGTCCTTTCGATGTGCAGCCCATTAGTTCTATCACCAGGCATGATGTTTTGTGTTTTGCTGAATTTTGTGTTTGTGTTTGTAGATCACTATACACACACATTATATGAAATCCTGTTAGAATCTTCAACTTGAGTTAATAACCAAGCACCGTGTGATGGACGCGTGTGGGCCACTGTGGTCATCGCTCTTACACAAGCGTCCCATGACCAAATACAGTTAGTAAAATCCAGGAGAATCCAAGACGTCCTGCTTCTGTGGCTCAGATCAGAGTCGTCATCCACAAATTGGTTCTCTGGACAGTCTCCTCAGAGCATCGTCTGACTTTTTAGTTCTGTGGGATTCCCCTTTGTTTCCCAAGCACAGTTTTTCTCCACCTGATCACACTGTTTGTTGACAGCACCCACAGCTGGTTCTCTTGGAGTGTGCTGTGTCTGGTTATGGCACCCTCTTGTGGCAGGCTCGAGGTGGGTGAGGTTCCCAGTGGTTAGTCCTATCTGTAGCTTTTGGATGCCGACTGTCGCTGGGCCACGCGTGTACAGGAGGCACAACACGCCATCTTATAGTAATTATACACGCAGAGTCGAGCCTGGACCACCACGTTGCAGTTGAAGTACTTGTCATGACAGTTTTCATCTGGACGTAAAAAGAGAAGGTGAATGTAAGATACATATCTTCAGTTGGACGATTGAATCATTTCTTACCTTGAAAATATAACTTAGAATGGAAATGAATGATTTCATAAATGTAAACACAGCTGTATGTTCCTAAGATGGTTAGTCTTTCAGAGGCTAACTAGTTACATTAGAGATGTCTTATTAGCCAAGTAGAGTTGTGAGTATAGTGAGTAGAGTTGTAGACTAAGCCGTGAGTATGCTGTCGGTATAACAGTAAAAAGTCATGGGTATAGTTTTAAGTATAGCTGAAATCTTAGCTGTGAGTATAGCTATAAACATAGCTATGAGAATAGCTTCTGGTTGTAGGTATAGCTGTAACTATAGATGTGAAAACAACTGAGTAATTTGTACACCTGAGAGTGAGTTCGAATGTATCTGAGAGTATTGTTGTGAATATAACTAAGTATATTTGTGAGTTCAGCATAGATCATAGTTGTGATCATGACTGAGAGTATAGTTGTAAGCATGGCTGAGAGCAGGGGTGGGCAATATGGCAAAAATTGTGTCACGATACACAATATACATCACTATATTTATGTTTTTTTAAGATTTAATACGTTCAAACAGATGACAAAAAATGTGCACTGTCACATATATACACCGATCAGGCATAACATTATGACCACCTCCTTGTTTCTACACTCATTGTCCATTTTATCAGCTCCACTTACTATATAGGTGCACTTTGTAGTTCTACAGTTACAGACTGTAGTCCATCTGTTTCTCTGATACTTTGTTAGCCCCCTTTTACCCTGTTCTTCAGTGGTCAGGACCCCCATGGACCCTCACAGAGCAGGTACTATTTGGGTGGTGGATCATTCTCAGCACTGCAGTAACACTGACGTGATGGTGGTGTGTTAGTGTGTGTTGTGCTGGTACCAACCAAATAGTACCTGCTCTGTGAGGGTCCATGGGAGTCCTGACCACTGAAGAACAGGGTAAAAGGGGGCTAACAAAGTATCAGAGAAACAGATGGACTACAGTCTGTAACTGTAGAACTACAAAGTGCACCTATATAGTAAGTGGAGCTGATAAAATGGACAATGAGTGTAGAAACAAGGAGGTGGTCATAATGGACAGTTGTGAGCGTGGCTGGGAGTGTATCTAAGAGGACAGTTGTAAACATGGCTGTGATAATAGCTGAGAGCATGGATGTGAGTACAGCTTAGGGTATAGATGTAAGCATGGCTGAGAGTGTAGTTGGCTGGGAGTACAGCTGAGAGGACAGTTGTAAGCAGGGTTGTGAGTATATTTGAGAGTATAGATGAGAGTAATTTGTAAGCCTGGCTGTGAGAACAGGTGAGTGTATAAGCTAACCTATGTGTGGAACACAGGGTTCGGTGTTGCACTCCTCTTTCTCCTCCGGTTTGAGTCCTTCTTCACACCCCTCACTCGGCGTCATTTCATCAGAGAGACAGCGGACCTCTCGCACACGAAATCCCCCCTCACATGTCTTCGAGCACTGCATACACGGAGAAATAAACGATTTCAAATCTGAAAAAGTTTAAAAGTGGCCGTGGAGGGTGTGCTGACTTTTATAACGTCTGTTTTCTCTACATTAATGTTTCTGAGGTTTTCAGTATAGATCATTACAAAACTGTTGTCTAGAAAAAAAGGCTGAGATCAGGGCTGGTTTGGCTGATCAGAGCTTTAGGAACATACTGAATAAATGCTATAATATGCATATTTGTGTGTATATATATATATATGCAGTATTATGCAAATTGTTTAGAACCATTTATCTGGACAAGAGAGACTTCAGTCCGACTTTAGGTCACTCACCGCACTCCAGGCCGTGTAGTACCACTTTGCTCCACAGGCTTTCATATGGCAGCTCTGCTGACCGAGTGGCTTGTCCAGAGAAGAGCATTCATATGGTGGCATCACTGTGTAGCCCTCTTCTGACTTCATCAGACACACTACTGCCCTCTGCTGGCTGCCTGTGCCACACTCAGCAGAGCACTGACAATCCAAACAGCAGAAACCAAAGATTAAAAACAGACACTAATCACTCAGTGAAAGACTAGAAGCTGTCTGGCTGAGTGTCGCCCATCTACACAGGCTGAGGAGCTCAAACTATTCAGTAAAGATTGCAGCACCTCCTGGTGGCTGATTATGGACATTGCACCTTTCTAGTCTTCATTAGCTACATTTCCATTGACTTTCTGAGCAAACTGCATGCAGTAACATAAATACATAAAAAATATTAGACTTGTTTCCATCAAACTGACTTTTAGTGATGAAATGCTTTAAATGTGAAAGACTTTGCATACGTTTTGGTTTATCAATAAAAACAAGGTGTGTTTGTGTATACATAAACATGAAAGTGTACTCAAGGTACACTCTGAGGTTCCTCAGCTAGCCACACTGGTGGAACCCTTCAGGAACCCTTTTCTGAGGAATTTAGGATCATTTACAATGTTCATTTATCCAGCATGGTCTCGAAACCTTTTGGGTGCTTCAAGGTATCATTTTAAAAGGCTGGCTCTTCAAGAAACTTAAGCTTATTTTAAGGTTTGAGGCCTGCTAATACTACTGCAACTGTAATTCAGCACAACATTAGAGCTGAAACAATTTAAGGATTGTTTATTACTTTATCGGTTATGTACATAATAAGAAAATTTTGTTTCTTTTATTTAAGTATCCATTACATTTTATTATATTTTCCCCCTGAAAAGTGTCTGTAAGAGGGAAATCTGTCACGATATTAAATGTATACATTTAAAAAAGTTCTTACTGTAACTTTCTGCAACATTTCAGGGGTCAAAAAACAATTTACCCACAAGAGGAAAAAAGTTTTGTCAACAGTCATAAAATATTATTAGCAATATTCGCTTCCACAGCCCACATCGATAAACATTTGTCATAAATAAGTCCTGTGGATGGAAACAGTTACTGACTCACACTGATCATTTTGATTAATTAACTTGAAATTATGAAATGTGTATTATAATTTCTAAAGTAAAATTAATAAACTAATATGGTGAACATTGATTTTCAGCCCCCATTTCTGATACTGATACAGCACTACACAGTTAAGAGTCTTTCCTGCTCTGAGACGCCTGATTTAATCTCAGTGGTGACCAGTGAAGATCCAGTTAATAACACCCGTCAATCAGCGAGGAAGGAGCTTATAAACAACATACTGCATTGAAAGTCAGTAATATATATTTAAAAAATTACACACAATACAATTTTTACATTTGAAATTAAATACTGAATACCACATTTAAAAACGTGTTGTTATTATTATTTTTTTTGTTTTCATCAAGTTTTCTTAATATATAAAGACATGCACAACTTCTATCATGAACATCTTACTTACTGCACATATATTGTATTTATACAGTGCATGTAGTGCATTTAAACATTGTGCCGTGCTCACCTGCCCCCACGGCCCGCTGAACCACTCAGTGCGGCTCTCGCAGGGCCCGTTGTTGCAGGCCTGTGCCTCTGGGGGGCGATCTGGCCCACAGCCCTCCAGAGGCAGACTGCTGATGTGGTTAGTAAGGCAGACCACACTGCGGCTCTGCACGCCCATCCCACACTCAGCAGAGCACTGTGAGAGAGAGAGAGAGAGAGAGAGAGAGAAGTAGACAGAGGAAGATAGAGAGAAAGAGACAAAAAAAAATAAGAGAGAGAGAGATACAGGTGGGATACACAAGATAAAAATGATTTAATTATTTGTATCCTGGATGCATGACCTTGATATCTTTACCAAATAATAATAATAATAATAATAATAATAATAATATTTTCTTTTATTAAGTAAATGATAAAATATGTTTCTAAAATTTACAAAAAGTACAAAAACTACTGAAAGTACAAGTATATTTTTGACTAAATTAAATGATTAATAAAGTAATAATATGCAATAATTTAAACTATATATATTATGCTGTGTTTCACATATTGTTATTAATGATCATTATACATTTGCACTTTCAGGATGCAAGACGATGATAATTATTACTGCTGCTGCTGCTACTACTACTAATACTAATAATAATAATTTGCCTATTATTTGATCTCTTAAATTATTTTCTCTCCCTGAGTGGACAGTAGTAGTAAAGCTCTGTGTCCAGTATTTCAGTCCAGTAGAGAGTGGATGCTGGTGCTGAACTCACTTTGTTGGCCCAGTCTGTGTGGAACCAGCTCTTCGCACACGGCCCCATGTCACAGTTCTCCACATCACTGGGACGAAGCTTCATATTACACTCCTCATCCTCCACAAAATCACCCACGTTACTGACACAGCGCACCTCCCGCGACCTCTGACCCACCCCGCAGGGCACCGAGCACTGAGACCACACACACAGACACAAACACCTTGACTAACGAGTGAATAAATGCTATTGACTACACAACTTATTATAAGAGTCCTATGAAAAAAACTGAAACCGAGTTCATAACTGATTCACTGGCCACTCACGGGACTCCATTCGGAGCGGATCTGCCACTCGCTGCAAATCTTCATTTGGCAGGTGCCGCTGCTCTCGGGACGCTCCAGGTGGCGGCAGCGGCTGGAGTGGACGTTGAGGGTGCGGTTGGCGTAGGCCTGGCGGCAGAGGACCTGCCGGTGCTGCATGCCGAGGCCACACGTCTTACTGCACTCTGACCACTCGCCAATGTCCCAACTGCCGAAACATTAGAGAAGCAGCACAAGCTGAGTCATTAATCTCTGACCTCACAGTGACCGGATTACATTACTATTTTTAGGAAACAATTCAGTCACAACATCTCACATTTCACCACAGTTTGATTTGATTCTCTGTTATGATTCAGAATTATTTAAAAAATAACAATAAAAACAATATACCAAGCTTTTTTGTTGAGCTTTGCAATCAAATTCAGCCTCAGATTAAATTTAGGCCACAAATTAACACTTTAACAAAAAGGATTTGATTCAGCAGGAGTTTAACTAAAGTCCTGTCCCCGATTACCTAAGGCGGTTCTCTTAACCCCTCAAACATGACCAGGATCTGCCCACAGGTCCAGATTTCCTTTGCTCACTCCTGTAACTTGATATTAACCCAGTCAGTTTGCATTAAGTAGTTTCCAAGCAGTTACTAAACGATAATAGGCCTTATGATGTAATAAGAGGTCTAAGGGGAATGCCACCAGTTTTTTGCAAATTTTCTGCATAATTCGATAACTGAAATGTAAACACAGTCAATCAGAGTGGTTTGATGTGAAACGGTTCATTCTAGAGACACTTGCTGACTCAGATTTCTTTACAGTGGTGGTGATAGGAACCAGGGTGTCACCATGACTACAACACAAATATAGACACTTTATTTACTATCCAAAACCACCAGTGAACCTACACAAGTTTGTATATGTAATAATGATATTTTTTTCATCAGAGACAATTTTTGCCTTTTGAACAACACAATTGTTTGTTTTTGCTTATTTTAAATACAATGAATACACAAATGTGACCGTATGTGTCACACCTGGTACGAACTCGCAGACTGAAATGGACTTCATTTCCCAAGCTCCCTTGGGAGATCACGTGACTTCGAACTTCCCTCCGGAATCGAAGTCCGAAGTGGACTCCACTACCCGAGAGCCAAGCGGGGGTCATGTGACTTCTGACACATTCTCACACACCTGTCAGAGATCTCAGTCTCCTGAGTGTTAACTGGTTTCACCTGTGTGCCTAGTCATGTGTTTAGTTAGAGCAGTATCTAAGCCCGGGCTTTAGTGAGTAGCAGTGTGAGGTATTGCTTCCCTGAGAACATTCTGAGCGTTATTTCTGACTGCATTATTCTGTTTTTTGACCACTGCTTCGTTTTCGACTTTTGCCTGTTCCCTTTTGTACTGCTGCCTGATATTTTGGATCTGTGTTTTGACTATTTTGCCTGCTTTTTTGACCTCCTCTTTTGTCTCGCCCTATTGTTTTGTTCGCCTCGTGATATGATTACTTTCGTGATCTTTTTGCACTTCTCGGTTTTGACCCACGCCTGTGTTTTGCCTACGTCTTTGCCTAGTGTTAATAAAACCAATCCTGTCAGTTTTATCCGCACACGTCTGGATTCTGCTGAATGGTTACAGTATGAACTATCTACACAGTGAAGTACAGACATTAAACACACACGCACACATCTTCTAAGCCTCTTATCCTCCTGGGTCGCAGGGGGAGCTGGAGCCCATCCCAGCAATCATTGGGTGGAAGGCAACATTAAAAACAATAAATTATTATTTTCTTCATTTTTATATTTCATCAGCGCCAGGACAAAACCTCTTATCTACAAAACAGAAACTTTTCAGGAGTAGGAAAAAACTTCGGAAGGTAACAATTCAAAGTCAATACTTTACTGAATATCATTATAATACATTATAAATGCAGTGAATTCTAACATTCTATGTACATTTATGCAGTTGAATCACCATCTTCAAATCAATGCATTTCAATGCACTGATACATTTTCTGACCCTCACTTACACATCAGTATATTTTTGTGCCAGTCCATCAGTTTCAGTATTAAACACTGTTTAAGGTCCTCACACTGTGTGTGCTTATATGTTTATGAGATGAAATGAGACAAAGTTCTTACAATGCAGGACACGGCTGGACGTTGCAGGGCTCCTCCTGTGGGCTGGGTTTGGTACTGCTGTCACACAGACTGTCCGACACCCGGTCATGAGTGAGGCGATGGACACAGCCAAACACTGTATACCTGTTACCTGCAGAGCAGACATACAGCGACATGACTACAACATCCTGATCAGCAAATCAGATATAATCAGGCAAAAAGTCTGTCTGCAGGACCAACACTGACTGTACAACTTTGAAGGTTTGAAGTTTGACTCCTTTATTTAAAAAAGCAAGGAAAAAATGTCTGGTGCTTTGACGAAATGACCAAAAAAGGCATAGAAATAGTGGTCAGTATTACAATTCTCTGCAATTCTATGTGACGTTTAAGGTTGAAGCTGTGCAGTTCTGACCTTTGCCACAGGAGGCGCTGCAGTCAGTCGTGCCCGTGAGTTTCCAATTATATTCTCTGCTTCGCCGGGGCGGCTGGGCTGCGGGTACCTGGTTGTCAGGTGCATGGGGGTGGTAACTGTGCCCACCTGTCTGTTCATATCCTTCCTGGGATGGCCGTCTGTGCTGGTCATATCCCGCCCCACTGGTCACTGTGTTACCTGCAGAGGACAGAGCAGTAAAACTCAGTTGATATATACTACTATTCAATTTTGATGAAATATGATTATGATTAGATAATGTTTCATTTAACAGCTTGTATTCACATCAATAGCCTATTACAAACATTATTTGTTAAAGAGAATTTTAACTCTTGAAGTGTCGACAATCAGCTGACCGTCTTCTGTGTTACCGGCCGTGCTGACCGAGTTCTCTGATGGAAGGATGTACTCGTAATGCACTCCTGGGTTGGGCTGCTGGTAGATCATCTAAGCATTAAAACAAATAGAAAAGACATCAATCGATAATACATAAGGTTCTTAAAGGGGAATACCACCTATTTTTCAAAATTTCTGCATTGTTCACAGTGGTGGTGATAGGAACCAGACGTCCACCTCTAAAAGCTCCCTCACAAAAAGTTATTATATGAAATGGTTATGAATACTGATGTCTGAGACGTTGTTTCATAATGCCTTTGTGATAATTGTTGAGCCTAAAACGTACTTTAATCCGTTTAATCTAATCTGTTGATGGTGGAGAGGTACATGCTGGGTGTTGTAAAGCAAAATAGTCCCTGAAGAAAACTCACTGGAGGTTTTGGACAGTACATAAAAATGGCTATATCTGTGTTGTAGACATGGTGACCCCTGGTTCCCTATCACCACCACTGTAAAGAAATATGAGCCAGTAAGTTTCATTTCACACCAAACCCCATCTGAATGACTGTGTTTACATCGCAAACACGATGTAAAAAATCGATGGAATTCCCCTTTAACTCCGTATTACATCCTAAGGCTTATTATTCAATAACTATATGGAAATCAATGCAAACTGACTTATTTTTAAGTTACAGGAGTGAGGAATGGAGGTCTAGACTTGGAGGCACATCCTGGTCATATTTAAGGGGTTAAACAAGTTAAATAAAGTTAAATAAGCCACACAAGTGACAGGACTTTAGCTAAACTACTGCTCAAGCAAATCCTGTCATTAACCTCCAAAAGACAAATGACAATTTAAGCCAAACTAACTCAGTCTTAACTGATTAATTAAGTCCTGAGGCAAAGAAATAAAGTACTCAGTGCAAAAACAAGCCAGAATGAGTTTAGAGAGATGATTGTATCTCATTTTTGATGCTGTGCAGGAACTTTTGATTTCACTTTTTGGCTCCAGTTCTGTGCAGCAAGCTGACTGACTGCATCACATCTTTTACATATGTCTGATAAGCTGTTTACACACTAGTGGAATATGAAAAACAACAATACAGCAAGCTAATTTTAAGATTTTTACATTTGAAAATAGTCTTGCATTTCAGCCAAAATACAGGCAAATAATTCTTTGGAATAATGTTGGATATTTTAAATTATCTAATCAATTACAATTCATTCTAAAACGTCTAAACTTCCAAAGCTGACGCAGTTGAAACACCTCGTTTAGAATGATGCATCACAATGCACTGATGCATTTTCACACCTTTAACTGGCAACTGATAAACGTATGCTGCACTGTGAGAAGAGACTTGTCGTTCCAACTTATTGTTCAAGAAAAGTAAGAAACTCGACTACCTTAAAATATTTGATTTAACTGAATCGAGTAAGATGACATCCCTGTTTAAAGATGATGTCCACAACCACTCACATAAACGTCCAGTATTTCATTGGTTGGACCCTCCGCCTGAAAGGACTCCCCCGCAGTGCTGCTGATCTCATTGGGCCGCCGGTATGTGAACATGGTCCCGCCTCCCTCATACTTTCCAGGCCGGTCAATGGCCCAGTTTCCATTTATGATGGAGCGTCCAGAACGGCTCCGCAGAGCTGCAGGACACACAGACTGTTACTCAAAAGACATGAAAGACGTCCTGCAATACAAATATTTGCCGTGATAATAAAAGTGGCCATAAAATAATTAAATAAACTGGATGTAAAGAAATCAGAATCATAAAAATTGCCTTGTGTTTTGTCTTCATTTTATTGAAGCGCTAAGCCTCTTGAGTTACAGCGATACAGCTATAGAGGATCACTATGCTTTGTGTTGTGGTAAAATAACTGTAATGCTCAGCCCTTTTCAGCTGATCTGCCTACTAACATACACTATGTCAGCTTGACTACAGGTATAGCCAGAATTTCATTTTAGGGCAATCTAGGATGCATTATGTCCCATAGAAATTGCTGTAGTGAGAAAAGGAAAATACAACCTCCAACTAGCCAACTAGCTACTTTAATCACATTAAACCACAAAACACGATTGCTGACCTTGGATTTAACTGTCTAGTTACTATAACTGACAGCGTAGCATGAGGCTCATTCCCCAATGTACTGCCTCTTACAGCACTAGGACTACCACTATTTACTGGCCTATCTAAGTCAGTAGTAGCCACGCTAGGAACTAGCAAAGCTCACAGTCTGAAAACAGTCAAGCAGGGTCTCATTTGTAGGTGTAAAGCAATATCGGTATGTGATCAATGGCGGCGTGCAGCTGTGTGAACGTTGCCACCCAGATAACAAGAGGATAACACGCTGCCATTTGGTCTAGTGGCGGTAAAGCTGGCAGCCCACTGGCTTTCTGTTCAGTGTTTTCTGGACAGTCTGGTGGCCATTTTCCACTTCATTTCTTTCCATTGTCATCCTTTGTAAATTAATTTAGTAAATAATTTCAAAAGTAATACCACAAATAAAGTCAGTTATAAAGCTGTAACCAATCTAGCACAATGTCAGCAACAACATTTTCAACAAAGCCATTTAATTTTAGGCCTAGTCATAATTTTTTTCTCAATTGCTTAATTGTTTGTAATATTTGTTTTCCAAAATAAAAGACTTTGTGCATGTAAAATCTGTTTTAGGAGATTAAAAACTAGTATGCAGGACAATGACCTAGGTGGTCTGGGAGTGGACCAGCAGTGGCAAACAGTCAGCGAGGTGGACACTATCAAGCCAACAGACTGATATATGCCTTTTATCTGGGCATGGTGATCACGGCCGCCAGAAACTGGAGAGCGCTGATGGAGATCTTCATTGGTCTCAGTACAAATTACATTTTGGAACATTTCTATTCAAATCGGACGACTTCTTTTTCTGAGTCAGTAACCTGCCGTTTGCCTGGCTTCCAAACGAGGAGGCCTAGCTCCCCCCGCTCCCCTCATAGCTCCACCCTCGACCGGTACTATGGATTGTTTTGTTGCGCAAGCTTGAATAGTTTTACAGTGAATGTGGCAGTGCAGGGGAATTCCTCCAGAACTTTCCAACCACCGTTACGCTGCAGCTCCTCTGATGATCCTGCGGATGTTGCCTTTCCACCTCCTCCCTTTTCGCTCTCACAAACATCTGATTTGATCAAACAACAATGACAAACACGGCCCCCGCAGGGTCTGAATGGGCCTATTGTCTCGTTGTCCCCACTGTCCACAGTTCGCCCACAGCTGTCTCGCGCTCTGCAAAATCACCCCAGAGACGTCTGCGACAGTGTAGCAGTTCGGCCAAAATTCAAATATTCATGCTGCACCAAATGTAGTCATGTTTGGAGTCTGACGTTCGCTTTTTTAGTTTTGCACTGGAGCTACGAGGCTAATGTAGCTAACAAGTAAAGGGCATCATGCTAAATATCATAAACTTGTCTGGAACTCTTGTCAAAACTATCCGAGTTGTTCAGTAATCTCAGTTATTACAGATAAAAGTATGTCATACAGTATCAGAAACCACATAAACAAGTCTTGAGATTGCTCAACAGATTGAGAGTGTGATAATTCAGGCATGCAGTTTGCACATTCATAATAATAATAATAATAATAATAATAATAATTGATATAATAACTTTTCACACAGGAAAATGCAGCTCAAAGTGCTGTACATTAAGATAAGTAAACAAAAAAGTATAATATAAAAAAGTACATAACACCAAAAATGAAAAAATATAATATAAATTCAAAAAATAAATTTAAGTAACAGTAACAAAATAAATAAGTATAAAAGACAAGAAAATAATGAAATGGAAAAAAAAAATCAATAAACAAATGAAGCAAAATAAAATGCTAAAATAAAAAAATTGCTGACTAAAAACTAAATTAAAATAAGCAAAAAAAAAGATAAAATAAATTTTTGCTGTGAATTAATTTACAATGAATAAAACTAGAGAAGAGCTAAATTAAAAAGATACGTTTTAAGCTTCCACTGTCTGGTGGAGGGAAGCACTGCTTCATCTGTGTTTTGTTTGTGGAACAGAAAGTACTGTGTTTGATTATATTAGCCAGTCAGACAATCTGACATATGAGAAGGTGCTAGTCCATTAATGGCTTTAAAAAAACAAATAAAAGGACATCAAATAGTATTTTGTAATGAACAGTAAGCCAGCAAAGTGCTGCCAGGACTGGAGTAATATGTTCATTCTTCCATGGTCAAGTAAGAACTTATGCTGCTGCATTTTGTACAAGCTGTAGTTTGTCTGCACTCTTTTTGGGTAAGGCAGTGAATACATAACAATAATCTACACAAGAAAAAATGAGAGAAAATACAAAACAATGACAATCCCTGTATGAAATGTCACTTTTGTCTTCATTTATGTTTAAGAAATTACTGTTTATTATATTTATTATACTAGATAAACAGTTAACAAGCTGATCAAAAGCACTTACTTCATCAGGTGCAACAGAAGAATATAGCTTTGTGTCATCTGTATAGCTATACAAGTTGAATATTCACTGATGATATGGCCAAATGGCAGTATGTATAGTGAAAAAAGAAGTGGCCCAAGGATAGACCCTTGTGGTACACCACAACGAATGTCGGAATGTCGGATACAAATCCTCCAAAGGGAACAAAATAATGTCTATCAGTCAGATATGTCTGAAACCACCTGAGCATTTCCAATGTCCAGTCCAGCACAGTGACCTGCAAAGTTTACTGGTGGGCTATTATGTGTTAGCTACATTACAGTACATTAGCACACTGCTGAAACATGTCTTGGCTGATCGGCTACATTTGGCATAAGGGAGGCAAATTTGTCCCAACTATTCCTTTAAGAACTCATGCTTTTAAGGGTTAAAGCGGCCGGTGGGGCTCAGGGGAAGGGGACACTAATGAAAGCTTGTTTATGTACGTGGCCCCCGGAGGCCAAAGAGGGAGCCAGACACACGCTGGGCTTCAGCATGGCTCTCATTAAAGCAATGTCTCCAACAATAAAACACTGACATTCCTCCAGTCACTCCTGAAATAGCAGCGGCTCTTTCTGCCTCGCTTTCTCTTTGTCTCTCTCTCTCTCTCTCTCTCTCTCTCTCTCTTCTCTCTCTCTCTCTCTATCAGTCAGGCAACGTAATCTTAGAGCCATAGTTTTTTTTCCTGACATCTGAGTCATTTTTAGCGGGTGGGCTTTGTAAGGATGAAAGCTTGAGGATAATGTCTGTGATGATGGCCACGTTTGAGAACCGCTACCTAGAAATAAAAGGATGTTCTTTTATGTGTTTAAAGTGGCTTTTATTTTACAAAATTTCAGAAGTTCATGATGAGCCAACTGAACTTACTTAAGGAAGCAGAGAGAGATAAAACTGAATCAAGAGTCCTGAAATAACTGCTTGATGTTTTAAAGAATGTCAAGCAACAAGGAGAAGAGAAGAGAAGAGAAGAGAAGAGAAGGGAAGAGAAGAGATTAAATAAAATAAAACAGAAGAAGAGAAAATAAGAGAAGAGAAGAAAAGAAGAGAAGAGAGCGAGAAACGTGAATCCAGAGTCCTGAAACAGCTGCTTGACGTTTTAAAGTTTGTATACCAACCCAAATGTGGAATTTAGCTTCTGAAATCAACTTTATGTAAGACTAGCTCTAAGAAGTTCCGCATGCTGCTCTGAGTTTGTGTAATAGGTCTGACTGATATATCATTTGGCTTGTAAAATTTAGGGAAAGGTTTATGGATTTATCAGTATCTGCATTAAAATGTCACTGATAAAACACCAAACTGGTCAACCTGAACACACCAGCACGGTTAAAATGAACATATGAATGCATTTTTAGCATGTGCATATCATTATTAACATAACAATGAAAAAAAGAAAAATAAAACAATGCAAAACTTTGCAGAAACAATGGCACGCTTTGCAAAATGTGTAGCTCAGTAATTAGATCCTGTTCATGAAGTGGCGGCGATCAGTAGGAATGAATGGGGTAAAAAATTCAATGCCCATCTGCCCATCTATTCAATGCCCATCTGCCCATCTATGCCCATCCCATTCATTTTTGCTCCCTCACAAGCCCAGTTATTTACTTTTTCCCAACAGCCACCAAACTACACATACTCACTTAGGGCAGGTCTTCAAACTCTACTGCACAGCCTGCACTCCTCTATGTGTTGTTTTTTCATCCCTCATTTCTCTCATAGACTACCATTCATTCCCAACAACACGTAGCTACCACTCTGCAAACCCCTAAAAACCACCCAGTAAACAATCCATACATCATAGCAACTGCCTAGAAACACCTTAGCAACTGTGCCATCACTCTGCATTTTCTTCAGGAAATGTTCTATTCTGGTTACTGATCTTATCACTTAGCAGAATTGTTAATTTCTTAAAACTGATCGAAATGTTGTCCTAGTTTTTGCGTGTTTCACTCACCGAGGTAGTTTTGGCTCTTCACCATCTCTGTGACGTTGATCTTGGTGGCTCCCTCTGGAATCTCCACAATCTTGTGGTAGCCCACTTTAGAAAGGCTGTGCTGGAACAGGCCGGAGACCAGCTTACAGGCTGTGTTATCCCCTCCGCACACGCCACACTTATCCATCACCTTCCCTGAGCCCAGGTACTCATCACAGCCAGGACTCTGAGAGACAAGAGAGGAGGAGAAAGAGAGACTTCTACTTAGCTGCAATGGCAAAGAGGAAAATGAAAAGATCTGAGAAATTCACAGGGGTGGATTGATGACTAGTCGTGCCTACCAGGTGCATGAACCCTCTGGGGGGCCTCAACCAGCCTAAGATGGATGCTACTTTTCTTAAAACATGTACAACCTACCTAACCTCATAATACGGACTGCAGTACCCTGATAATACAACTATTTAAAAAAAATATTAAGAATTCAGATGCATAAGTGTGGGTGGGGACTTATTTTAGCCACGCCCCTGCATTTTAGAGCAGGAAGTGTCCCCATGGCCACACGGCGAGCAATTAGATCCCACTGTTTTGAAGTAAATGTGTTTCAAAGTCTGAAAATGAGTACGTAACATTAAGAACTGTCACAACTGAAACACATTTTCTGCACTTAAGTAAACTTTTTTAGTTTTTTTGTTTTTGTTTGTTTGTTGTTATGAGTGTACCACTGTTCAAAGCTGTGTTTTCTAGTCATGTACTGGCTAGCGTTTTTGAGTTCTGCTCAAAATTAGCTGAAATTGTCACTACTGAAACATTTGGAAAAGTTTCGGAGACAGTAGTAACAAAACTAAATGTTCAACCTTTTATTTATAACAATAAACATTATTAAGGTTTATGGTCACTCAAAGCAAAGAGATTTCAGTCTAAAGTCAAAGTCAGTGTTTTCAAGTCTGACTTTGAACCAATTCGTTTGACTTAATGTGTTTCAAGTCTGAAAATGAGTGTGTATCATTAAAAGTTGCCACTACAGAAGCACATTTTCCGCAATTAAGTAAACTTTTTGTGTGTTTATGTGTGTACAGCTGTTCAAAGCTGTGTTTTCTAGTCATGTACTGGCTAGCGTTTTTGAGTTCTGCTCAAAATTAGCTAAAATTATCACTTCCAGAACATTTGGGAAGCATTGTTGGAACTTTGGAGGCATTGTTATTGTATTGGTAGTGAGAAAATGAAACGTTCAACCTTTTATTTTAAAACAATAAACATTATTAAGGTATATGGTCACTCAAAGCAAAGAGATTTCAGCCTAAAGTCAAAGTCAGTGTTTGCAAGTCTGACTTTGAACCAATTTGTTGGAATGATCCATATTTCATTAACCTGATTTAAAAGTCAAGTAAAAGATAATCACAGAATTTGGAGTCAATTTGGAAATGCTGCAAAAAATTTCTCTTGAAAAAAATTGTTAATAGCCAATCATTACTGGTGTTAAAGTTTAGTCCAAGGCTAGGCTTAAACCAGCCCTTAGTGTTTTAGCATGTAGGGCAGTTACGTTCATAAGTTGAATTAAACTGAGCATGTAAAGGGGCGTTTCCTATCATGGCTAGAACCATGATACCAGGTCACAGAGTGAGGTTTGGGCATAATTTGCTTTGGAAGAAGAATGACAGTCAACACAACCAACAAAACCAGCAAGCAGAACGTCTTATAAAACTTTCTACTACAACACCAACTTGGCTAACAGCTGCAGGACAAACAGCCAAGCTCTTCCTGTGTAGTGACCCTCCTGAGACAGTGTATTATGTGTCACAGTATTGTTTTCGGCATGCAAAGTCAGTATCGTGATGGCCACACTTCGGTTATGATTCAGCTGCTGTAACATTAATTCTCATATGTTTCACAAATTTGTCTGCTGTAGTTCTCCACTGGATCCCCACTTGTTGTGAAGACTGTGTGTCTTCTTTGCAGCTCGCATCCTTCCTACTGGACCCTGGTCAGTGGAAAGTGGGCTAAATTTTGGCCCAGGCCTGCAGTAAGTATAGCGCTCTCACATCAGCAGGTCATAAATTCAACCTTCTGAGCAGTAAAACCAACGGAGCTCACTGAACAGGTGCAGAAAAGAGGAGAAAGGGCAGGAGAGGGAGAGGGAGAGAGAAAGATAGGGATAGAGACATGGTGAAGAAGAGAAAAGGAGAAGACAAAATGAGAGAAGAGAAAAACAGAAGAGAAGAGACAAGAGAAGAGAAGATGAGAGAAAATAATACAAGGTGAGAGAAGAGAAGAGAAGAGAAGAGAAGAGAAGAGAAGAGAAGAGAAGAGAAGAAGAAAAGAGAATAGAACAGAAAATGAGAGAGGAAATATAATTAAATGGAAGAGAAGAGAAGAGAGGTGAGAAGAGAAGAGAAGAGAAGAGAAGAGAAGATGAGAGAAAATAATACAAGGTGAGAAGAGAAGAGAAGAGACGAGAAGAGAAAAGAAGAGAAGAGAAGAGAAGAGAAGAAGAAAGGAGAATAGAACAGAAAATGGGAGAGGAAATATAATTAAATGGAAGAGAAGAGAAGAGAAGAGAAGAGAAGAGAAGAGAAGAGAAGAGAAGAGAAGAGAAGAGAAAATGGGACAGATGAAGAGAAAAGAAGAGAAGAGAAGAGAGAAGAGAAGATGAGAGAAAATAATACAAGGTGAGAAAAGAGAAGAGAAGAGAAGAGAAGAAAAGAGAAGAGAAGAGAAGAGAAGAGAAGAGAAGAGAAGAGAAGAGAAAATGACTATAGCAGAGCTGCTAAGCACAGCGCCACCCACTGGTCTGGAGCAACCCCAGCCATTCCTCACAGCGTGCGGTCAGCCTGCCTCAGATGCAGTTTACAAGCTCAAAGGATCTACGCCGTTCCCAAACATTACACTGTCATAAAGTGTTTCCCTACAAATCCCAATCCAGGACTCTGAACTGTACCGCTTCACAAAGCCCTCATACCACCGCAGTCCCTGGTCAGTAGCTGTGGTCTCTGTGGTGGCTGTAATGTATTAGAATAAACAGAGCCTTTACTCACTGAATCACTCCCATGCGGTTACATTCCACATGCACAGCCCTAAAGCACACATCACCTCAGGGAGAGCATACCTCAAACCAGCGTTTAACAGATGAGGATCATATACGTGCTCCTCTATGGTGCGGCAACTGGGCTTAAATCATCTGGCCTGGGCCGACGTACTGTTTTCATCAATATACTTATCTTTGCCTAGATTAACAGCAGCTGAATAGCAATACTACTCTAAAATCCATCAATTACTTCCTTGCTGGTGTAGCACCATCTGTTGATATATAATTCGAGTTAGGTATCCTCTAGACCAGGGGCCGCAACACAAATGTTAAGAAGAGCCATTTTGTCCTTTCAACAAAAATCAAACCACCTTGGGAGCCACAGCATTTTGGCTGTAAATATGTCTCAGTATGTGTTAATGCGCTAGTAGAGGCTAAAAATATAATAGCCTATAAACAAAAACGCCCACTTACTTTGCTCTGCTTTAAGCTTTAGCTCAGCTATAGCGCTTTTCTCACATCTCCAGCAGGAAACTTTTCCACTTTTAATTTCAGCACTCAGCTGGTTTCCTGATATGTTTAATCTGAGTTTTCGTTTGCTAGCTTCTTGTTCGAATTTTAGGGTCGGTGGGAATTTTCCCCTTTCATCCAGAAGAGCATTTGTGAGGTCAGACTTTGATGTTGGGCGAGAGGGCCTGGCTTGTAATCTCCATTCTAGTTCATCCCAAAGGTATTTGATGGGGTTGAGGTCGGGGCTCAGGGCTCCCTCCTCCACCAAATGTTACAGTTGGCACAATGCAGTCAGGCAGGTAACATTCTCCTGGCATTCGCCAAACCCAGACTTGCCCATCAGACGAGAAGCACGATTCGCCACTCCACAGAATACATTTCCACTGCTCCAGTCCAGTGAGTCCAGAGTCCATTGACAGCGTGCTTTACACCACTCCATTTGACACTTGGCATTGATCTTAGGTTGCTTGTGTGTAGCTTCTCGGCCATGGAAGCTCCTAATGCGCAGTTCCTTCGCTGATGTTGCTTCCAAAGGCAGTTTGGAACTCTTTAGTGAGTGATTCAACAGAGGATAGATACTGTGCGCTTCAGCACTCGGCAGCCCCTCTCTGTGAGTTTGCGTGGTCTGCTGCTTCCTGGCTGAGCTGTTGTTGCTCCTAGATGCTTCCTTTTAACAATAATAGCACTTACAGTTGTCTGGGGCAGATCTAGCAGGACAGGAATTTCACAAACTGGCTTGTGGCAGAGGCGGCATCCTACGACAGTGCCATGTTTAAAGACACTGAGCTCTTCAGTACGACCCATTCTACCACCAGCGTTTGTCTATCAAGACTGCAAGACTATGTGCTTAATTTTATCCTCCTGTTAGGAATGAGTGTGGCTGAAGCACCTGAACTCAATAATTAGGAGGGGTGTCCCAATACTATATAGTATATATTGCAAACCCACAAAGGCCTAAAACTTTACTTTTACTGCTGTCACTTTAATGGAATATGGGTTTAGGCTACTCCTCTGCACACACAGACTTTCCCCCTTTAGGAAATGCAAGCGATGATGAGGGCTGGAATAGCAATGAGAGACCCCAGCAGAAACAGAGCTGTCCAGCTTTACAGTGTTTACATATGAAATGAAAGAAACTCATTCAGCACAGGTATAACAGAACAAAAACACAGAGGCCAAGAAAAACACACGCAAGGACTGCTGGATGAGAGCTGGTAAAGCATTCGGCCCAAATCCGGCTCCTGGAGAAGTTCATCATTAATTTTGACACCTGGTTAGAAGAAAAGAGCGCTTTTTATTTTTTCTTCATGGACGGATAAAGAGTCTCTTCAGCTAATTATCCTATCATGAGTCAGAATGAATGTGGAACAGGAGACTCCGATGAGTCTCATTGTGACAACAAGCCCCAGAAGCACCTCAAAGTCCTCAAAAAGAATCTAATGGCTTTTCCTTTCAGCACCAGTTTCGACCTCAAAAGCACTTCATTTCTCTCTCTAAGCGACTCTCTGTGGGTGGCGTACACTGTTTAGCACCAAAGGAGCTTCTGATGAGCCAGACTAAGGCTCTAAAATCAGCTCTAAAATCCACATTCAGCTGGAAATGGTTAGACTGGTCGGGGTCTCCGAGCAGCCCTCTGAAGAATTCCTCACTATTAGTGTTGAAATAAATACCAGCGGTGTCTCTCCACATGCAGG